GGGATAGGACAATATTTGGCCGAGATACTATTTGAAAATCTGGAATCTGAGGGTGAAAAATAATCAAACTATTGAGAAAATCGCATTTGAATTTGTCCAAATGAAGTTCTTAGCAGTGCATATTACTAATCAAAAATTAAGTTTTGATATATTTACAGTAGGAAATTTACAAAATATCTTCATGGAATAGGATCTTTACTTAATATCCTAATGATTTTTGGCATAAAAGAAAAATCGATCATTTTGACCCATACAATGTATTTGTTGGCTATTGCTACAAATATACCTGTGCTACTTATGACTGGTTTTGTGCTCCAGGGTCACATTTATGCTTTGTTATGCTGATGCTGGAAGCTCCTGGTTGGAAGACATAATTTATGAATCATAACCCACTAAACTGGCTAGAGTGTTTGGTTGGTTTTCACCTGCATTTGTTTATTTCAAATTCTGGATACTATTCTGTCAGATTCTGCTATTCTGCTTTTGTCACTGTGGTTTGCCACATCGTTGTCTCTTTAAGGGCACCTAACCGAACACCCCTTGTCACTGTGACCTCACCCTGTTAAAGACAATTGATAGCTAAGACAGGAAAAAGACTAATTCAGATGCTGACCTGCTGGTCTTGAGTACAATATGCAGTCAATGAGGGGAGGGCTGGGTATCCTGAGACACAGCAGGTGTGGAGGGAGGGGGTCCCTGCTTCATCACTGTCAGTGTGTGGATGACTTTGTGCTCATTTATGTGTTTTAAGAGAACTGAACTTCCTACATTTCCTCACAGACGGGTGGGAACAGGAAGGCAGTAGTTATATCCGCCCATTCCCTGTCTGTAAGAGGTCAAAGTTCGCATTTGTCATACCCACGAGTCTGGCACTCTCACTCTCTGCTGACCTCTGACTCACTTTCCCTATATGCTAATATAATACACATTAGTACACACTTTATGTCTGTATGCTTTTCACCTAGGCGAGTAGTGAGGTTAGCGAATTGCTAGTTTGGACCAATTCGCAAAAACAAGTGCATAAATACGTAGTGATTGTTTTTTTTAACCGTTTGACAAAGTGTTAGACCATTTGACTGTACTTAGTTTAGTGATAAAATTGAGTATGATAATTAAAAATAGAAACATGAAAATAAAATGTAAAATCACTAGTTTAAAGTGATAAGTGATCGTGTATAACTATATTTAAGTATTATTTTGGAGTTCTGTTGAAACTAAATATTTGTGCTTTTACTTATTTACATTAATTGCAAGGAAATAACTTTTTACTACAATTTCATGTAGATTTAAAAATAACAAGTATATAAGTCAACATGATTGAAATCTTTCTGTGATTTCAACATTTTCTTTGATATTAAAAGATTGTTTTATTTTATTTAAACAGGCAATTGCTTTTTTTTGTTTAAATACTGAGAATTTATTTATTTATTTAGATATATAGGTAGATTGTAAAATTAAATGTTTTTTTGTTTGTTTTTATTTTGGCTTAGATACTTAAACTTTAAATTGAGTCAAAATGTTTAAAGGAGTCATATGATGCG